GTTCGGATACGAGCAGGTCTCTCACAACCAGTGGCTTGGTGATTCCAAGAAGGAACCCGTCCATTATACGGGTTGTGGTTGAGGAGCCAAAGCTACGAGGCGAGGGTTGAGTGTATCAGAATACAATGGGCGCGTCCACCGACTGGAGTGATCCCGGTGCTACCGTTTTATGGCTTGCAATGTTCTTCTTTAGAAACCTATGCGGTGAATTCAACGTTTGTGGTGCACACAAAATTAATTCGTTTGTCTATGACTCTAGTATCGGAAGGGAGGGCGTGGTGAGGATAGACGGGGCTCAGGGAAGTAAAACCCCCTGTGTGGGTGAGATATCCCGCACCGGGCCTAGCATCGCATAGGGCAAGGATATCCCGACCTGACGGTTTGCGGGCCGTTTCCTTACTCGGGCTTTCGTCCATAGATAATCAGCCTGCAAGTCCAACGGTCAGCACGACTCCCATTGAACCCAGTACGAGACTTACACGGGCCAGTAGGCATGTATGCTTCGGTCTTTCAAGTCCCTTCGTACGCCGACAAGGAAGGCTTCCACCTCGGCGGCCGACCAGCCCAGGATATTGGTGAAGAGCATCAAGCTAACTCCCTGTATGCCGGAAAGGATATTCTCCGAGGACCAGGCGCCTGTTGGCGGGTTAGTGAGTATCGTCCAAGCTGGTCTGGCTCTCCTACCTATTTCCTTGTATTTCCGGTCCTTGGCCCATGTGTTGATGGGCCACTTGTACTCGATTTGAACCACGTCCTGGAAGCCGGCATCTAGCAAGTGTTGCTTGTATGATGCCGCCGACCTCATGGAGGCGCCGTGCTTCTCGCTTGCCTCCACCAGATAGCGGCTCCACTGGGCGAGCGGGCAATCATCTGCCAAGCTGCCGTCATCGCACGTCAACGGCAACACATCGGTCAGCTCTACGTAGGCGCCCGGGTTCAGGTTTCTAAGCGGAGACGTGAGTGTGAGTCATGAGCCCTCCTAGGACAAAAGGGTGCCTACCGGTAACATTGCTCGACTAGCTTGGGCCAGTTCTTGATGGACCCAGTGAGCATGCGAGCATATATGAAATCGAACTTGGTCACAAAGGCCCAGTCGTTCTCGAGGTCGTCGACAAAAAACTCGACGTTAGGCGGGATACTATTTTTGTGAGCATGGTTACGGGCAGCGGCACGAGCAACTCACAAGGTCGGTTGAATGGGGCTTAGATCAACACCGACGACCTGGCAACGGTCAGTAACCGATTGCACCACACGGGCGCCATAGAATACGTACTGCTGCATCGGGGTGCTCGTCGGCTGGAGAGGGTTAGAGTGTGCGGTCGACATCAAAACGGAGGGGCATACCAAATTCTATGGCCCAGATGCCGGTGCCGGTGCCGGCATCAAGAACGCGGTTGAGCGGCTTGTCCTTCCCAGCAGGCGATAGATACAAATGGTTGTCTTGAGACAGTAGGAAGAGGTTGTGCTGAAGGTCTGGTTGCCGGTGAGCACGGGGGAACGTGGTCTTGCCACCATAGAGTTGACTTACCCAAGCGTTCATTCTCTGTCTTGGTTGAGACAGTTAGCAGGTAAGCTTGCGCATGGCAGTGTCTCATAGCTTACTTCGTCATTTGGCAGGAAATAGGCGGCTTCTGTCGTGGAACGTGTCAGACTGTCAGCCAACGGTGCGTGGGAGCCGCATCTTTGAAGAAAAGCAGCACTGACCGCTTGCCCTATAGGCATGGTAGGTACGGCCATTCTCCTCGCGGAACTTGAAGATACTGGACGAGACGGATGTTGTGTCGCTCACGTCGGCCTAGAAACAGTAAGCACAACACATCCAAATAACTAGCATGCGCCGGCATGGATCGATAGGTCAGCCTACCGTGCTATAGAGGGAGTCACCATCATTGTCGCGCCCATCGTCCTGTACATCACATCGAGCTATTAGCATTTATTTGGGTTCTTGTGATGCGCTGTCACTCACGTCGGCTTCGAGAGGTCCAGTGTTGCCCGGCGGGCTCGCTGCGGAGTGCGGACTAGCGGGGCCGGGGGAACCGGAGCCGGTCCGTGGTGGAGATGTTTTCGTCGCACGGTCTGGACTGGTGGGGCTCTTGGAGCCTTTCCGCGACGAGTCGCCCATACCCTACTGTGTAAGCAGGAATGATTTTAAAAATCCTACTGTGTAGTGATGAAACAGACGGGAATATTGAAGATGGGGCGTGGAGGGAGAATCGGGCACATTTGAGCACTGATGGCGTGTTCCGAATCAAGGGGTTTTCTGTGTCGAGTGAAACTTGCAGGCTCGGTTGCAGATTGCAGACTGCAGCGGGTGAGCGGGCGGCCCCCCCGGCTCTTTCATCCGAAAGGGAGGGGTTGCCAATCGACGGGCCAGAACATGGCTAGGTTCATGCGGGGATTGGCAGTTGTGCGTGGATTTCGGCCAAGACTGCGACGTGTTGGTCGAGATGCAGCACGTTTTGCAGGGAAGCCAGCAGAAAGGTGGTGCGTGGGAGATGCTGAAGGGCATGGGATTGCAGGAAAGAACCGAGAGCTAACCCATTTGCAGGGAACTATTCGTAGCTCCCTCGACCGGGAATTGACGGTATCACACGCTAGTTAACTAACTAAAGTCCCCACAGTTTCGGGGCCGCTCTGCTTCTGAATACCCAACGATACGGTAATTTATCTTTCCCCGATTGCGAATCGCTGGTTATCGGCCTCGTTGTTACATCGTCCGATGCTTGCCATAAACTGCGCCTCACCTCCAAGACTGGCGCCGTAGGGACAAGATAAAAATACCCGCGCTTGTATTTCGGGGCAACGCGTCTTATTCTATCTATTTTGGACCAAATAGGGGCAAGTTACCTCCAGAGTATCCGACTTTCCGGGCATCTAGGACCAAGACAATCCGGTACCCAACTTGAACTTCACATTATCTGACGCATCCCATTACGCGTATTAGTGGTTACCGTCGACGACAACATGAGGATCGGGTGTCTTCAGTTTGCACCAAAAGTGGGCGAGGTACCAAAAAACATTACGCGAGCAGACGCCGTTCTCTCAAAGGCGGACCCCAGCGACCGAGAGAACTTGGACCTCCTCGTCCTCCCTGAGATGGCCTTTAGCGGTACGAGCAGCAATCTGGGCTTAGACGCGTAGCTGGCTAACTCTGTCAGGCTACAACTTCAAGTCGAGAGAACATATCTTGCCGTACCTTGAACCAACCGGGTCTGGAGCTAGCTCGCAGTGGGCGCGCACCACTGCGCGCAAGTACAACTGCACCGTTGCGGTTGGGTATCCGGAAAAGACCGAGATAGCAGGGGGTGAACCAGAATACTATAACTCACTCGTTGTTATCGATAGCAATGGCGAGAAGCTGGCCGATTATAGCAAGTCATTTCTGTACTACACAGACGCCACATGGGCCCACGAGGGACGAGGCTTCTACGGGGGAGTGCTGGGCAGCTTGGGACAGACTGCCTTGGGGATATGTATGTGACGCCGTGATGCCGTGACGGCGCTCCCCATATAAACGTTTACTCTGCTGACAGTCCAGGCATGGACATCAAGTAAGAATGCCACGGACTCACCATGCCAGCCGATGCCCGACTAACAACCCAGCCCCTACAAATTCGAAGCACCCTGGGACGCCTATGAATTCGCCTTCCACGTCCTGCACGTGCGGGCGAACCTCGTCATCCTCTCCACAGCATGGCTGACCAACGACGAGCAGAGCGCCTTCCTATCCTGCCCGGGCGCGCCCGACCTGAGCACGCTCGCCTACTGGGTCGCGAGGCTGGAGCCGGTGATCCGGGCACACAGCTCCGAGGAGACCATCGTGGTGTTCGCCAACCGCTGCGGCGCCGAGGACGAGGCCACGTACGCCGGCACCAGCGCCGTCATCGGGATCAAGGACGGCGAGGTCTCCGTGTACGGCGTCCTCGGGCGCGGCGTCGAGGAGCTGCTGGTCGTCGACACCGAGAAGCCGCCATTCGGGAAGCTCGTCAACCGTCCCGCGACGCCAGCAGCTGGGGAACCGGGATCGCCGCCGGCACCACCGTCCCCGGCAGAAGAAGACGACCCGGACGACGGCCCATCGAAGGGTGCCGGCCGGGGCGCCGCCGGGGCGGGCTACGTCGATTCACCGACGCTACCCTCAGGCTTCGCGCCGCCGGCCTCGAGTAACCGAACAACGCACCGCGCCGCTGCTCCACCCTCGCGACCAGCTGGTCCCCACACACGACCCAAACTGTCCCTCCAGACCAACCTCCCCATAACCTCCCCCGCCGCCCTGCCCTCGCCGGACGATGACGCACGCCTGCTGTCAGCGATACCGATCTTTGTCGACGTCTGCACGCCGGACGAGCCCGATGCGCCTGACGGGCCTGGGTGGCGGGACGGGGCGGTCAGGTTCGACTGTGACGCCCTCTCGCCGTGGAGCGTGGCGAGTTGGCGCTCGGCTTCGGCTTCCAATTCGGGTTCGGCTGCGTCGTCGCCGCTGGGGTCGCATTGCGGTGGGGTGATACGTGTTGCGGCGAGTCCGAGTGTTTTTGGAGGGGGGTTTTTGGGGGGTGGGGGGGTTTGTGTTTGAGGGGTCATGGTTTTTTTTTTTTTTTTTTTTCCCTGGGCGGGTGGTACAGTCTGTTTATTGGGAATGGACATTTGTTGTGTGCATGGCTGGCGTTGGGGTTTGTTTGGATAGGGGCATGATAGGGCATGGTGGGAGAGGTGAATCAGAAGATATGTTACTCTCCTATTTGCTTGATTACCTGACTGGTGCTCACATGTGCTGAAATATTAGCTGGGGAACAAGAAGGTGACTCAAATGTAGCGAAAAGAGAGAAAACTCCATGAGATCCCCTGAGGCTGCCATCAAAGGCAAGGTTAGCAACCAGGGAGATGTTGGGCCATCCTGTCAGCCTCGCTACGTGACTCCGAGTGCTCATTTGTGCTAGGATATATGCTGGGGGAGAAATCACCCTGAATACCCCCCTGAACCCCCAGCAAAAGTGTAAGCCTAGCGATTACTCGTTTCGATCGAGTGACCTCCGGGTTATGAGCCCGGCGCGCTTCCGCTGCGCCAAATCGCTTTAACCTACGGTGGGCTTCCCCCACCGATTGTTGGGATGGGATGACGGTGGAGAATATATCTCCTTGAAAGTCTGAGCAATTTCTTTGTGTGGGAATGCGGCAAAAAAAGGGGCACGGTTTGAGTCATTCAGCTCGGCGAGGGTGGGTCACAGTGGGCCCAAAGCAGCCGTGGCCCCACTCACCCACTGCAACGGTCACGATGACGTTTTCCAGACCCAAAAATTTTGAAGCGCAAAGCTCAGGCCAGCTGAGTTGTTCATTAGACAACTTGAACACAGCTTAACGCCCTTGTTTATCAGGGAATTGGCGAGAAGCCGAAGAAAGGGGACCATGTGCGGAAACAAAAGAGAAAGTCAAAAGCGGATAGAAGAAACGATAAAAAAAGAAAATAAGGGAGTCAAAGAAAAAAACGAGGCTACCGAGGTCGAGGTGCTCACTTACACATCGTTGGCGCAACTTTCAATAAGCTTTCACCGTTTAGACGGGATTTCTTATTATTTACGAATACTGCTAAGAAAACTGGAAACATATCGAGCGAGCCGGTGTCGCTTAGCTAGTGTCGCTTCTGACACCCGCAAGCTGCCCTTTCGGGGTATCTCATCAAATGATCCCGAGGTATTCGCATCTTGAACAAGACGAGACATTCGTGACAGATCCCAAACCAGGATTCTCCTTGAACACCAGCTATCTATACAATCTTACAAGACACACAATAATAAACACAAATACAGCGTTCAAACAATGCCAGCCGCCTAACCATGACCCCTTACCTGCCATATACGCCCCTTTCCCGTGTATGCACCTTACCCCTGAACAACCCGACCCAGATTACAAAATAATACAGCCCACCAAGCAGTACACAGTACAGCACACATACACACACAACACACGATAAACACAAAAGCCCAACCCTTCACCACATCACCCAACTTACAAACCCCGCCCTAACCCCCCTCAAACCCCCTCCCTCCCAGGCGACCTCCCAGGCGACCTCCCAGGCGACCGCCAACCCCCCCAAACCCACCACCCCCCACCCACCGACCTCCGCCCGCCCCCCGGCACGACACCTCCATCACGCTGCTGCCCCGGCGGCGGCGCAAAGTACAGCCTCCCAGTCGCCGTCAGCGGCGGGCGGCCCAAGCCGGGGCTTAGTGCGCCCTCTCTTTGGTGCCTGGACGACGCCGCGCCCGACGGGAGGGGGGCGGTTGCGGGTGCGGCGGGGAGGGGGAGGGTTGGCGGGTGGATTGTGAGGGGGGGGGGGCGGGAGGGGGTGCGTTTTTTCGGGGGTTTCGGGGGGTTCGTGGGTTGCTTTTGGGGGGATGTGGTGAGGTGGTTGGTGGTGGTGTTTTGTGGGCGGTGGATTTGGGGTTGGAGTTGGCGTTGCCACCCCTGGCTTGGGATCCGGAGCTTCGGTCGTGCGGGTGGGTTGTGGGCTGGCGGGAAGAGGGAGAAGGCCGGGCGCGGACGGCCGTGCGGGATACGTGGGGAGCGCTTCGGCGGCTGTGCTGGTGGCGGCGCCGGGAGGGGGAGGGCGGGGGGTGGGACGTGAACCCATGGCTCGCCGGCTGGGTTGAGGTAGACTATTGGTTTTCCGCTGCCGATGGGCTTTCGCTTGGGGAAGGTGTGCACCTTCATAGGTGGTGTGGTTGAGGGAGGTGGGGGGAAAGGTGTTGCTGCCGGTCGGGGCGGCGGCGTTGCAGGCAGCTCGGCGACGGAGGGGCTGTGGGAGTGGCGGGAGTGCTCGTGGCCGTAATAGCGGAGAGCGATGACTGTGTCGACGCTTCGGCGGTCGCGGCTGTGTGGCTGCCGGGAGCTAGGGAGTTCATTGTTCTCTTCGCAATACCCTAGGTCTAGCAATGCCCGGGTAGAAAGCGACGACAAGCTGGATGGAGACGACGGGACTGTGGGTGGTGTTTCTGGCCTGGTGGCGACGGTACGGTACTTCGTTGCGTCGGGGTACATCTTCGCTGCTCGCCTGCGCTTTGCTGCCCGACGATGGTAGGCAAATAAAAGGAAGATTCCGCCAAAGAGGATCAGGGCTGCCCCGACGGTAATGGCCACGACGGCGATCACTGGTAGTGTTCTGCCGGTCTCGGTTGGCGGGTCGGCGGCCGGTGAAGGGCTAGGATCGAGCCTAGATCCAACGTACGGCGGCTCCGTGCAACACGGACCGACGTCCACGGTCAATATGCTGCTGGTGAGTTCAAGGGTGGGCAGCGCCCGGGCGGCCTGTGTCGTCTGCTGCTGGTCAAGATGCAAAGTAACCCGAGGTCTGACTCGAAACGCCATACATCATAGACTTTCCAGAATCCCGGGACCAAAGAATGGGCTGGCCTTCAATCCCATCCCGCGGGGAAGCGAGGGATAGGGCTTATAAGGGCGAGCATGACAAGCCGAGCCACACGAGGGCAGAATATCAGACACCCAGGTATGTACATACAACCACTTGGTGACCACCTTTAGATTATTCTGCTTCATTCCTACGCACTGGCTGCGAGGAACGAAGCGTTCCGGAGGCGGTGGCTGTTGGCCCACTGTACCGGCTCAGGAACATGAATAGGACGGGTAGGGTGGTACCGCTGACGATGATGCGGCGCAGATGGTCGGCAAAGACGGTGGTACACAAACGGGCGCCATGGATACCACCCACCGTCCGGAATAGGACCTGTTGGCGGTAGATTAAGCGCTGGCGCGCTTAAGCAAATTCCAGTTGGACTGGCTGGCATTTGGCAAGCTACATGTACTTTTGCAAGTTTGTAAACCTCAAAGAGCTGGGAGAGCTTTGTTACCTTAGCTACCGGTACCGGGCAGCAATGCTGGGTAGCCGAGTGAGCGCCTCCGGCACCTGCCCCTGAAAAAGGGGCAAGAGGGGCAAAGGTGCAGAAGGGGCGAACGGGGCCAAGAGTAGCTGCGCCGCCAAAAGGTTCTCAACTCTACAAAAGACTGGCATCTTACATGGACGCGTGTATAGTACGCGCGGTGCTGGTGGGTATGCCGAAAAGGGCCCAAGAGGAGCTGCGGTTGACGCCGTTCCTATCTCGGGGGCAGCCTCCATGTCATACCAAGCAACCTTTTTGCCCATAGACGTGGTGCTGGATTCGACGAAAATGGAAAACAATGATCCCGAAATGTTAACATGTGCCGCCTATTTTGGCTCGCGCGCATGAGAATGGGAGGGTGTCAGCGCTTATTCAGAAGCACGCAGAATCCTCGTGGCGGCCAAGGATGCAACCGAAGCAATATGCAAGCCACGAGTCGACAAAGACGGATGCGGGTAGGGCGGGCCATGCGCAGTAGGGCAACCCTCTTTCAATGGGGTCTTTGTCAGGTCCGGCGGTGGCTGAAAAGGTGCCTGAGTACTTCGTATGTACCTAATCCGTACTCTAGTCTTTTGGCCTCGCGGCGGTTTCAGGCAAGAGAGTTCGTTAGTTGGTGGTGTTGGTTGGCAATTTCCTCCCTCTGAGGCGGAATGGAGGTTGGCCTGTAAATCCGAGCTGCAGTTGGGAGGTGCCGCGTACCTACTGTGTATGTATATAGTAGGTATGGCCGGCTTGAGTGAAGCCCGCTCCAGCCGGCCTGGGGTGGTTTCAACCCGTGCCCGATGCTAGGTACAAAAATCGCCGGAAACGGCACCACAGCCGCAGCGCGGCCGTTGCCGAGTATGCAACGTCCACACCCACGAGAGTTGTTGCAAAAGGGGTCTGCTGCAAGGGCGCAAAGTGCAAACGTGGGGGCACGTCATTGTTTCTATCTGCGACCGCCGGCGGAGGATTCGGTAGGCGATTATGGATGCAACATGAAGGAGGCTGCTATCCAAGACCCGTTCTGGTTTTTCCTGCGTACGGATATCTTTGGAAATGCACGTTGAGAAAGTGGATGTGTTGAGGGCCCACAGCTGGATTTCAAAAACATGGAATCGATGCCGATACAAAAAAAAGCAGATAAGAAGAGATAAGATTGTCAATTCTTCCGGAAATCATAACGATACATCGCTTGTCGAGGGCATCATTTCTTTCTTGCGTGAGTTCCTGTGTAAGTGTGACGATTGTGGCCTTCCTCCCTGCCCTCGTCCGATTCGAGGCCAACCCCCATCCGGCTCGTTTCTTGGCGGGTCGTCCGTTTCATCCCCCGCAGATCGTATTGTCCAATCAGATTCGCCATCTCCAAGTTTGTTTCAACAGTCCGTTCGTTCATTGGTTGCTTATTGTTAGCTCGGAATCCACTCCAGCGTGCGAGGCTCCGCCCGCTCGATCGCAGAATGCACGACCGGGATGGAGGGGGATGTGACGGGACCAAGGGCTGCTGGTCACTGCTTCCACACTTTCCCAATCTCGCAGGTCTGGCTCAGAGCTGAACTGTGAGCATCACAACAGTTTTATGGCAGGGCACGGGTATTTTGATCCGATATTCCATGGGGCGGCCTAAGGCCCTGTGCGACAAAAGTCAACTTGTCAACGAAGGGAAAGAAAAAGATCATTCAATCGCTTCACGCATCCGATTTCCATTTTTTGTTCTCGATCGATCTCGCTTGCTCAACGCCCAGAATCCTTTCCGTCGCTCTCGGCAGTGGCCGGGGACGGGTCTGCCGGCGTACGTCGTTTCAGGCCCAGCTAGTACAGACAGCAGGATGGAAGCATAGTCCCTGCAGCGTGACACCATCACGTCCAATGGCGGGCGCTTACAGGCCCGGCACTCTCGACACACTCTTCCCAATCAGCCAGCTGACCGTTTCCATGGTGCCACCAGGTTTTGACCTTGGTTGACCTTGGCTTCCAAAAATACATCCCAAAATATGCCTGAACACAACTGTGCCGCTCCGTTCCCGCTCCCCGCCTCCCCGGGGGCTTGCCCCTGGTTTTCGTCAGGTGCTTCTTGTTTCCCGCCTGGCCGAGACCACATGTATCCCCTCATCTTGCTAGCAACTGCAATGGCCCGTCACCGTCAGCATTAAACGTCGAGTAACCTAATCTTCAGGCTGGATCGAGTAGATCTGCTTGGT